CGATATGCTGAAAATTCATTGTGCGAATTGCGGATTTTAAATTTTAGCCAATCAGAGCAAACTCTATGAAAAAAATTGGTGGTCGCAGCTCCAAATTTTATTCATCGAAATAATAACTCTTGATTCTCTTGATTAGTTTATTCAAATTTTGACTAGTTAAATTTTACTCCAGATCCATTGAGTGACGACCATCTTTTATTTTTCATTGCGATGAAGAATTCACTTGATCGGCTAAATTATTTTCCGCTAATTAAAAACTGATTTTCGATCCATTGATTTAGGCGCTTGAGAACACCCTAAAACATGTCGGCAACTAATAAATTTGTAAGCCCGAAGTTTGGTTTGTCTTTGGCGACATTTATATTAAAAAAAAGAATATTAGAAAAAAAAAAAAAAAAAAAAAAAAAAATCCGCCCGCCGCCCAAGTTTTAGGATTTCATGTAATGTGAAATGAAAAATCGACTTTGCATGGCCTAATACCAAAAAACGAACTTTTAGGTCTTTCTTATATGAAGTAGTACTCTCATTTTAGTTTCAAACTACTGATAAAACACGTTAGTATAAACACGTGCCTGTGACCTCAGAGGTCACGCTCACATGATTACTGCGCCTGTATTCAAATTCTCGGAAAAAGAAAATTTTTTTGTAATAATACATATATCAATGAAGTTGTTTTAACTGAAATTAATCGGAAATTTAAAAATAAATCCGTATAATTGTCCGCTACCAAAAGAAAGATTTAAACGTATAATTGATTCTGACGTAATTTTTACATGACCAGTCTAATCATTTTTTTTATAATATCCAACAAAAATGTTGCTACTACCTAAATGTCTTACATATATGATTTTATTATTGTAGCCATCTTTACCAATCTTCCGATAATCCTTTTTATGATTGTTATCGTTGGAATTGTGGTATGCAATATTTGTTAGGTTGAATTATTATTTTCTCAGACTATGCTAATGACTCAAGCTTCTTTTAGTTTCTTCCTATTGTCTGCGTTTATCTGTTGATTGTCTTAATCGTTTACCTCGGTTATCTCGAATTCAGATGTGTTATCTGGGTTCTGAAGGGTCTTGGAATACTTTTGGGTATACTTTATTTATAGCCAATCATTGATCTTGTGTAATATAAAATCGTCAGATCAAATTTCCAAAATTTCTTTGCTTTTTGCTTTAATGTCTAAAGCTAGCAACCACAAATTAGATATTGATAATTTGGACTTTAAACGTATTTATACGTTTGAAGAGTTTGAATTAATCAATGAACAACTAAAGACACACACCTTGAAGATCGATGGAAACCCGGTAAATCTATTTGAATTCAATGAAGGAAAACTCCTACCAATGCCACAAAATCCAATAAGCAAGGAAGCCGTTGCTTGTGAGATCTCCAGTCAACTTCGCAATTGGAATGTGTATGCTCGTCAAAACGGAATTATCACTACATCTCAGGGTGGATTTGATTTCGATATTTCTGGTCAGCGAACAATTCGTGCACCTGATGTTGCATTTATTCCAAAAAATATTTACCGTTCGCTTGATCATCAACAACAATGGACCTTCAAAGGCCAGTCGTTTACACCGACATTTGTTGTGGAGGTCGCGGTTGTCCAAGAAGATTATCAAGAGTTTAATGATTTAGATAAAAAATTCCGTGAAATTTATTTTGCAACAGGCTCGTCAGTTGGCCTTGGTTGGTTAGTGGACCCAAAGAATAAGCAAATATATATTTACAGACGGAGGGTTACTGGGGTTGTTTATCGAACTTTACATGGCTGGAATAATGTAGATGGTGGTAGTATTTTACCGGGATTCATACTTAAAGTGCAGAAAATTGATGATACAATTTCACAGGTAAGTTTTATTACTTTCTATGTTGTAATTTTTTTTATTATTCATTACCTTTTTATAAATTCATAACTAGGAATCCTCAGAATCATCATCATCAGAAAGTGATGAAACAATCGATTGTCCTAAATGTAATGCAACTTTTTCAAATGATTATGATTTTATGGAACACTATGAAGATAGCCATGCTCGAAGATGGCGTAAAAGAGAATAGAATATACTATACATTCACATTATGTAGTTGAAATGTATATCTGTGATATGTTCCTTTTTTGTATGTTGTTTTGGCGACATCTTTTATTTTTTCATTAAATAAGGCAAGGTTTTACGGAACCAAGCGTTAAGTGCCATTATTTTGATCTGATATGTTTGTTAGTACACATCGATTAGGGATCTGCAAACCCGGCATGTGCCCATGCCAAACAAAAAATTTCAAGGCACCGGCATGGGCATTAGCATAGGCACAAAGTGCCTGGCCTAAAAGTGCCCGGCACTTTTGTGCCTACGGGCACTTTGTGCCTAACTTAAAAGTATCAAACACTTATAAAAACAGGTGCCAGGCACAAAATTCCCATGCCACAAAAAATGCCTGGCCCAAAAGTGCCTGGCACTTTAAGCCCATGGTCATAGACACTGCCTAGGCACTAATGCCAGGCATAGTGCCCAATGTGCCCGGCATGGGCATTTGCAGAACCCTGACATCGATGACTATACAATGTAATAAAATCCCGAAGTACACGTGCAAAATAAGCATAATCATATAAGCGAAATCGAGCCACCAGGGCTAAGCTTAATTAATGAAAAAAGTACAGGAAAAATACATTCTAGAAATTCGAAATTCCGCATGTTTTATTCGAAAAAAATAATTCTAGATGTAAATCATATATTAATTTTTCTGCAATTTAGATATTAAGTTGTATGAATTGATTATAAGTCAAAAATTTTGGAAGCTTGACTAGCTAAATTCTTAATTTTTTGTATCCTCTTCGGAATAACGATTTCTGGATTTTCATCATACCATACTTCAAGTAGAAAAATCTTGACATATGCATCTCTTTAGACGATCACGATTAACAATGTCTTCGAGTTTTTTAACATCCTTATACCAGCTAGTATTATGAAACCGATGTTGGGCTTCTTGTGCCTCCAATGCGATTTGATATTTTGAAAGAAGGCATCAAGTTCCAATCCATTCAAGAAAGGAGGACGATACTCAATTATCGGCTTTTCTCCAAGCAATACTTGAGCTATTAGGATACATTTTTCCTGAAATTTACGATTTTTCTTAGACTCTAGCTCTTTTTTAAATTCATCTAAATCCTGTCTTAACTCTGGATTTTCAGTTTTAATTTTGATATTCTCCTTCTTAAGTTCAGTAATCTCGTCTAACAACGAATTAATTTCAGTTTGTGAAGATTCAGAGGTTTCGGAGTTTATCCAGGGTTTAAGTCCAGTTTTTTTCTTATATCTTTTATATAACCTGGAACGAAGCTTATCTGACAAAATGCTTGGTAAATCAGTTAATTTGGCATGCCACTCCAAATATTCGGAAGTTAAGTTTTCATGAGTCCTTGATTCTGTGCTCTGCTCATTCATGTTACTGTTTTACATGATTGCAAATTAATTTAAATTAGATATTGGCTTTTTCATAAAAATTTCTGTATCATATACAGGTTAATATATATACGTGGTATGGTTATGGTACGATTCTCGAAAGTTATTTCCCCTACATATCACTTACCCGACATCACACAGGGTGACAATTTGCTAAAAATATATACCTGCAACTAATCAAATACTAAACCTAACCCTATGTGATGTCGGGTAAGTGACTTG